TCCGTATTATTCATGCTCTCATGTTCAGGTCAGTTACTTTTTTGTTTTTAGTTTTTAAACACAAATAGTATATAGTATGTACTTGGGACACCAAATAGATAACATTTATTTAACATCTAATTTGGTGCATTAAAACAGACTCTGGCTATTTAAATTTAATTAAATTTAATGGGTTCATAGCCACACCGGCTACAGCCAATCAGTAAACCTAGTTTCAGCGTACAACTTTTTTTTTGTTTTTACTTGAGCAAAATCTTAGAAAGGAAATGATCTGTGTGGTTACCCAAATGACAGTTTTGTCTGTGTGCATCATTAGCTGTATATTTTTATATGGCTAATCTGAATTGATATTGCAGTAAAGCACGTAACTGCCTTCAAGAGCTTCACTCAAAATCCCAAAGAGTATCCATGCTATTTTATTTTAATTCTAATGAAAAGTGGTAACAAAGAAAAGAAATCATTGATCTGCCTACAACTTTGCAGTAAAGCATTTACATAATGTTGCCAGGACATCATAAAATATACACCCTATTGCTTTCCCAAACTAGTGCTGGTCAAACATAGCAAATTACTTCACTGGAATTTATTTTGTTGTCCTGCCTGGGTTGTGCAACACTTTGCCAGGGAAGGCAATAAAATATGTATGAAGTCTTTCAAAAATGGTTTGGGGCTGAAATCTGGGACTTACTAGCAACCAAACATGTCTAACTCTGCAGCTCAGAGCACTAACAAATTACGATGGATGTAAAATATTCTCAACCAAAGTGTCTATTTCTACACTGTAATAAACTAGAATAATTAATAATGGTGTACTTTACAGGCTGTTCAGAAAACTGAGATAATAAAACCAGTTACAGAAATACAATCCCTCCTCTAACCAATGAGACTCAGATGTAGATATGCACGTGATTGTCTCCCTCATAAATGAAATCACCACCACAATATCAAAGTTTGTTAAAAAAATATTTAAATCAAAATATTTTTAGTTAACCTCTAAACCTTTAATTCAAGAATCTACAGGATTCTACTTTGCCAGTCCTATCAAGGACAGTCTTTAAAGAAGAAAACGTTATTATAATGGCTGCAGGTAAAATGGGTGGATAATGTAAAATGGACCTCATTTGCTATCTGCTTTGGCAGGGTAATTTTTGGATCAGATATTTTTTGTAAGGATTTTTGCTTAAATCTGAAAATACATTTACCGGGCTTGATAGTGGGGATAAATTTTCTTCTCTCATAGAAGGAATGCATTTATTCTTTAAAGATGTCTTTAAAGGCTTTGCACAGAGCAGGAATGGGCAATCTGTTGCTAGTTGATGGCCACACTTGCTCTTTGGGAAAGCATTTCCCCACCAAGTATGTACAACTCTGATCTGCTAAACCTTAGTAGGGCATAAAAGAGCTGGATTTTTCCACAGAGTTGGCAATGTGGTGGGACCCTAATTATGTAATTGTGATTTAGTAGAGTTTGCCTCCTGTTCTGACATGGTTGCTTTTGTGAGAGGAAAATTTTAGTAGCCTTTTATATGGTTTAATGTTAATTTTGATTGCATTTAATAAAGCCAAGTTAGCTAAAATGTGCCCTGTAGGGCAATAACAGGAAATAAGTAAACTTGCAAGACTAAGCAAACTGCTGATGGGAA